TTTCCATTTTGTTCGATGACCTTTTGCCATCTCTCTGACAACTTGAAAATTCCACGCTCGTAGAAAGTCTGATCCTTTTCGGCCAAAAACTGAGTTAAGTGAGATTTTACAGCGTCATCGTCGTTAAAAGTTTTACCACGAAGGGAGTTGTCCAGGGATCGAAATAAGTGGTAATCCGATGGCGCGAGATCAGGGCTATATGGTGGGTGTAACATCAATTCCCAAGCAATATCCATCAATTTTTGCCGAGTGGACAAAGACGTGTGCGGCCTAGCATTGTCCTGCTGGAAAATGACATCTCTACGATTGACCAATTCTGGTCGCTTTTCCTTGACCGCTGCATTCAATTTGTCCAGTTGCTAACATTCACGGATAATAAAAAATAATATAATAATAATTTTATAATATAACATTTACGGATATCATAAAAATGGGAGTGAGAGACATCTATAACCGAAATCGGCAATTACTTAGTTGCCAACCCAATAATACGAAATCACAAAAAAAACCGTTCGTACGACAATATCACAAACTTCACAGGTATCTGTACTCCCGAATCGTTCTCTTCGCGTTTCTCAACCGTTCCGCGAACCTCTTCGGTACCTTAGTGCTATTCATCAGCTGTCTCCAGTGTCGTTCCCGAATTGCAGGGTTCTGGAGCTCCCCGACAGCCCTTAGGGAAGTCAGCATGTTCTTCACCGTCGCCTCCAGGGACACGTAAGCGTCCCACAGTCTCATCTCCTTGTCCAAAGCTAAGAAAAAGGAACGACATCGATGCCTCGAAGAATTCTACGAGTCCTTGCTCGGACGATCACCAACCTCTGATCTCCTTGGCAAACTTCTTGCACTCGATGTCCATGTTCTCCACGTCGATCTTCCGCCACGGCGTCGTTTTCCAACCCTCTATGCTGCTCCTCACGATGTTCACGTAGTCCCAGAGCTGCTTCAGCATCCTCAGCTCCTTCCTACACTGCCTCAGCACCTTGAACTCTGGCACGATTACCTCGAACAGCGACGCAGACTCCTGGATGTCCTTCATCTGCGTCTCCAGCATCAGGATCTCCCGGTGGCCCTCGTCCAGTAGCTCGTAAGGGTTCTGGCACTCGTACTTGAAGAAGTTGTAGCGGCGAAATGCCTCGCGATAGTGCGTTATCGTTGTGTCGAACGCGGAGATTCGGCCTCTGATTCTGGACACCTCGCCTGTCGCCGAAATGTATTTATTCGTTTCGTTATCTCATCCGTTGGCTCGAGTTAGGCGAACTCTCGGCAGATTTCTGCTTAATAAAATTAAGCAGAAAGATTTTTATCTATCGTAGAACCGCGAGCGTATTGAAACAGATGGCAATCGATTCGAGCGAATGGGGAAGCGTTAAGTGAAATTTTCCGGGATTTACGAGCGTACCGGCCTGCAATGGGGCCACTTGCTGCTTCACCATGAGGGCGAGCTTCTTCGTGTTGGCCCATTGTTCCGGCAGCTCTTGCAGGAGGACGTTCACCTCCTCCGGGATGTCCTGGTCGTAAAACTTGAGCAGCTCGATCGTCTCCTCGAGCGGCTGGAACATCTCGTCGGTGGTCGGCTGTCTCTCTTTCACTTGCAGAAGATACCCCATCACGCTGACTAGGCCGACGTAGTCGCCCGGCTGGATTGGCTGGAGCAGACCCTCGTCTGCTCTCCTAAGGATTTCGTACTCTTATTATTGTCTCATCTTCGTCGCACGATTATCCGGCATAACCGCAGCGGTGAATAAAATTACCGATTGCATGGAAACATCGGGGCCGAGGAACGAAAGTATCTTTTGTCGCAAAATTTTCGACCGGTCACATTTTTTTATCTTCAAATCGTCGATACTACAAATATTTTTTCTTAAGAAACGAGTTGCTTTATTCGAACTTACGTTGCAATAAAAATAGAGGAGAGTCTAAATAAATTCAGACTGTGGATTTTTGTGCAAAATAAAAATTGCCAGCATTAAATGCAAGATATCAGAAGCTACGCTTTCTTTCTTTAATTGTTGTATTAAGTTCAAAGTAAATAGAACAGCATCTTGAAATTCTTTAGAATGTTTTTACCGTCTCGTATTTGTTTCACTTATAATTTCGTTATGAATACATAAAATCAGCAGTCTAACCATTATTCTTCCAACGCAATGACTGCCAAGCTGATTTTGAAGAAATCTGTACTATACGCCAACATTCCCTTGTTTTAAATGAATAATAATAAGTAAATCCTTTTTTGTTAGTAACAGACGTTTACTTTAACAGACGTATCGTAGTGAACGTCTACCATGAGATAACTCGTGGTTGGCAATCAATGTGTTAATTATTTCCAGAGCTCGTCAGATTTAGCGTTAAAGTCTTTGGAAGCTACAAAAATCTTCACCCGCGCAAAGTAAAAAAAAAAGAAAAATATAACTTCCTTCTTCCTCGAGTATTGAAAATAATGAAAATAAATGCTACGCGAATGTGATGTGTTTCTTTTATAATTGGAAGGAGAAACACCTGATGAACGATCCCAAATCCGAGAGGCTGCTGGTGACGCGATCGACCAGATGTCTCTTGAACATGCTAGACCATTTGCAGACCATGTTCAGCACCGACTGTCTAAAGGGTCTCAGGTCTACCCTGAACCAGCCGCAAAACACTTTCGACGCTTCCATTTCCTCGATCTCGAGATAGAGGCCCTCGTAAAGGTCGATTTGCTCGCGGAATTGCTCCATTTTCGGCGGCGACCGCGCCGGCCCCTTGGGATCTTGGACAGCCACCATCTCCATTTCCTCTATCGTCAATTGTCGGCTATACTCGAGGAACTGTTGCATCACCATGTCCCTGTCGTCCAACCAGAGATAGGCGTACCCTGATAAAATAAAACGACGGAGGATCAACGGGATCGAATGGCAAACGCCGTCACGGGACCGTGATTAACGTAGGACGGCCATTCCCAAGGATTCGGCGTCTGCCTTTGCTGGCTCTTCAGCCTCTCGATGTCCTCGGTAACATAAATACTTTTTATTTCTATAAGGTACAGGTAATAGAAGTATGGAGAATTTTAAGAAGAAGATCGGCCAGGGCAAGTTTTTTTAAAACCCTGGAACTACCGAGCCCCAAAACACGACTAATGTATATTGTTTTTTAACAATGCCATATTATAGTATTTATATTCTTCAATAAAGAAATGATATTTATATTATAATATAATAATATTTATATATAATATAAATATAAAGAAGAATATTTAAAAGAAATAATATTTACATTATAATATAATAATATTTATATATAATATAAATATAAAGAAGAATATTTAAAAGAAATAATATTTACATTCTTCAGTAAAGAAGTGTACCTAAAAATTTCTCCCAGAAATATGTTCATAATATCAGGAAAAAAGTCAGAAGCCAGTCATTTCGACTGGTTCCATAGTTCCAGTTTTAAAGTTACTAATGACCTTCGAAGTTGCTGCAGAACTCGGTGGCATCCTCGACAGCAGTGGCGACGTTATTCAAAATTTCGTTCTTCATCCCCTTGATGTCGGAGTCCTCCTCGAGCTCCTCGGTGTATCCCGCGGCGTCCTCCTTCAGCCTGGGAAGCAGCGCGGCCATTCCAATGATATCGTCCAGCAAACGTAGGATCAATTGATCGAGCCCGTCGGGATCGTCTGGCTCCAGCGAGGGAACATAATAAAGATCAGGCTCTCTGAGCTCGAGCTTCGCTTCGAGCAAAGGCTCTCCCTGTCCGACGGAGTCCATGTTCTCCACCAAGTACCCTAACAAACATAGAAAAAGAGGATTCGCAGTCGAAACATCGGGGCCGTCGATCACCGATAGACGGAGGGAAAAGCGAGAGATAGAAACCTAACGAGCAGCCCAAAGCCCTCCGAAGGGACTCCGTAACAATGCCGTCGACGTACTCGACGTATCTGCGCCAGGGCTCCTCGATCTCGTCGCAGACTTGGAAGAGCGTCTTGTTCTCTTTCACCAACGAGTGGATCTGCTCGGCCGCTCTCTCGATCTCCGCGTACCGTTTCGATACCTTCTCGGGCCGCTCTTCGAACGACAATAAAGCGTCCTTGCGCCGGTCCTTTCTCTCGATCAGCGGCGTCCTGGTCCAGGGCTCGAGGATCGCTTTGATCTTGCCGACGTTCGTCTGTGCGGACTTGATCCGCCTCCAGAGGCCCTCGACCAGCTCGCCGAGCTCCACGATGTACTCCAACACGCCGGCCGACCTCCAGCACAGCTCGTTCTCACCTCGGGACACCAACGAATCGATCCTCGTGATCTCGTTCTCGATCAGCTGGAACTCGACCCGAGTGGTCGTCTTTCGAACGCTGTTGTACGAGTCCACCGTCGCGCCCAGCAGCGTCCGGAACTTCCGGAAGGTCTCCACGTCTTCGGACACCTGCGCGAAACATCGTATTACCTTCCTCGGCTCTGATAAAAGGTATTCAAATAATATATTTAATACAAATTGTGCTAAACGACTTGAATCTTCTTCAGTTGTTAAAGAGGACTAGCTTGCTAGGGAGAACGTCTAGAGGAGAACGTTGCTCGAGGTACCTTCACAGCCTCGTCGGGGATGTCCGAGCGAGACATCTGCTTCAGGTAGTTGACTTCTTTCAGCACGGCGAGGAGTTCTGGGTCGAAGTTCAGGAGCAAGGTCGAGTCTTTCTCGCGCGCCAGAATGTTGCGATTCAGGCCGATGTCCACGGTCTCCGGCACGGTTCGCGCCCATTCCGTGAACAGCTCGTCGTCCTTCTCGCCGAAGATCCTGATCAGCCTCTCGTAGCGCCGCTCTATGCTCCGGCCCTCCTCGCTCGTTACCATCCTGAAGCAAAGTTTCGAATGCATAGGGCTTGGATGCGGGATTCGAATCGGCGAGCGTGTCCCGCGAGACTTTGCACCGGTAATGCCGTTTCGAAAGCTCGCCGGGGTTCTTACGGGTCGCGAATCTCGGCGGAAGCGACTCACGGGTGTTGAATAGTCTTGAAAGATTGGACTGGCAGGTCAATGCGTTGCCGCAGCATGCTGGTGAACGTGAGAGCCGCCGCAAGCGGCGGAAGATTAATTAGCGCGCCTCTGGTGCCGCGATTGAACAGCACTTCGACCACCGTCAGCTCGACATTTAGGAGGTCCAAAATCCTGGTGTAGCGATCCGTGAACTGCTTGCTTATCACTGGCCTGTCGAGCACGGATCCGGCGATATTAATCAGCTGAAAGATGAGATCCGAGGGAGATCGATCGCTTCGAATTGGCCTCGGCCGTTCTTTTATCGACCGCTGCTAACCTTGAACACGCTCTCCAAATTCCCGCAGTCGTCGAATGCCTGGCAGAGTATGGCGGCGAGCTTGCTGTCGAGATCGGTGATCGCCTTGTTGAATTTCTGACAATCGACGGAGAAACATTCGTCGTCGGGTTCCAAGGCGTCGTTGGCTCTCACGGTGAAGGAGACGAAAAGCTGCTGGAACTCCTTGTAGACGTTGATGATCCTGCTGCTGAGGGATCGGCCGAGTATCCCACCGATCTCTATCTTCTCCAGTTTCGAGAACTCCATGACTGTGTTGAAGAGCCACTCTATATCGGCGAGCCTTCTCAGAAATGCGTCCAAACGTTGGAAAACTGCGCTGGAATTGAAGGTCCACGGCGGAGCGTTCGGCTTCAAGGCCGGCATGTTCTTCCGCAGCTCGAACTGCCGGCGGAATTCCTCGAGAACCCCTGTTCATTGAATTCAAGGAACTATTAAAATGTTCATCCACGGATCTTCGATTTACGATCTTCAAGGTCCGGATCAAGTTGTCGCAAATTAAGAGGTTATTAAATAACCTTAGACCAAGGGACTGATATCGAGGGATCATCGAATTCCTCGAGAACCCCTGCGGAATTCAAGAAACTCGTAAAACGTTCATCCGCGGATCTTCGATCTACGATCTTCAAGGTCCGGATCAAGTTGTCGCAAATTAAGAGGTTATTAAATAACCTTAGACCAAGGGACTGATATCGAGGGATCATCGAATTCCTCGAGAACCCCTGCGGAATTCAAGAAACTCGTAAAACGTTCATCCGCGGATCTTCGATCTACGATCTTCAAGGTCCGGATCAAGTTGTCGCAAATTAAGAGGTTATTAAATAATCTTAGACCAAGGGACTGATATCGAGGGATGATCGATTCCCGAAGCCCACCTCTCGACATCTGGACGCGCTGCAGCGCCTCGTCCACGTCGCTCTGGAAGATGGACGACGGGTCGAGGAATCGGCGAGCCTCCTGTATCAACAGGTTGCAGATCTGCCGGAGCATGATGATCACCTTCGACGAGCTCTGATAGTGGCTCGACTTCGACCAGGCCAATCCGAGCGAATGTATCAGCGTGGCCATCAGCGGCTTCGCCTCCGAGAACTCGACCTCCTCGACCGCTTTAAAGCACCTGGCCAGAGGCGACAGATACAAGGAGATCTCCTTCGCCTCGGCCATAGAGGACACCACGTTGTCGAAGAGCGTGCGGAAGCAGGGATAGTACGCGCTATCGGTGAGCTCCAGGATGCTCGCCATCTTCTTCACGCGGTCCTCTTGCAGCTGATCGTAGATGTACCTGAAAACGTCCTGCTCTTAGCAATTATTCACAGAGATCCAGGTTCGGATTCGGCAATCGGTCTACCTCAAATTTGCTAATCTAGCGGCCCAGTACTCCAATTCAATGTCAGGAGTTGGATTCTGGCCGTTTTCGAAGGCCGCGCCCGACTCCTGGGTGACGACGTCGTTCACCAAATACGCCCACTTTATCACGACGCCCTCGATGGCGCTCTTCAAGTACAGATCGACCGACTGGGGCCCCTCAGCTCGGACTTGCTTCTCCACGTCGGTCACCATCTCCATTCCAGCTGGCATCGGGAGGACTGTCCTACCGTTCACCTGCCCTTTCACCTAATTGATTAAAGATCAACTCTTTGATAGAGCATATTCCGCTTGATAAAGAATGAACTCACTTCGTTGCTCGATAAGGAATTTATTTATTACTTGATACAAAGTGCCTCGGAGAGCATGAACGTGTCTGCAGATGTCTTGGACCGCCACCTCGGGCAGATCTCTGTGGTTCTCCCGTTTTCTTAGCAGAGGAGCGAACACGCTGTCGACCAGAGTGGCCAGCTGGTCTACGACGCGGGACGATAGATCGCCGACGATCAACATCGAGGAGCAAGCGTCCTTTTCTCGCGGCAATGGTATCTGCTTGATCTTCACCGCGTAGATACCTGCACACGATCGGAATATATATGTATATTGAAGCAATGGGAACATAGATAGTCACTTTGAAGACATCATTTGTATTTTATAAAATCATTTTACTCGAGAGCATGAAAGCAAGGTAACAACGTTACGTTCTTATTTGCGTGACTTAGAATCATAACGGCGTTAGAATCGCTGACAACGGTTATCATCGACCGACAAAACTTATTGTTAAGATAATTTGCAGTTAAGCTAACTTTCTAGAAACTTTATAATTCGTTTCACTCGTCTTTTCAACGTTCTCGCGTATATAAATTACATTTTACAAATCAAAATGTACCGGAAACGCGACTTCTGCCACCGTAATTCCAGGCCACTCGTTCAACAGCGAGTGCAATTCAGCTTGGAAAATTCGCGAAAAATTCCGTAACCAGCCTCGCACCTTCGCCGACAAGTAGCCGTCGCTGACCGTGCCATGCGACTGTTATTCTTGAAGTTCAAGGACCATTTTACGAAAATCGCGCCCGAGGAGCTCGCCGCGCGGTCTCCGTGTTTGTCTTCGGCGGAGCGGGAAGCTCGGCTCGGAAAATTCCGGGAAAATTCCAGGACTCACCCTTGGTCCTCTGGCAGGGTATGGGGAACGAGCAGGACGCGACTAGCTGCGCGTTCGGCGTCAGGACAACGAAAAGCGCCGCGGGCACCGGATTATCCAGAAAGTCCATCACAGCGTTCCGGTACTCCTCGGTGAGCAGCAGCCTGGCCCATTTTTCCGGCTTCAGTTTCAGCGACTTCTGCACGAAACCTCCGATGTACTCCAGCCGGAAGTCCGCCGGACCGTCCGGCGCGGCCATCTCTGCGACGGCGAACAGGAATACGCGACGGGGCGGTTAAAAAGGCGGCGTCGTTAGAGGACCTCGCTTCTTCGGCGCGCCGCGATACGAAGCTCGCGGCTCATATTTCGCCGCAGAAAATAAACGGAAAGAAGCGACGGCGGGACGAGGGGGGTGAGGTTGGCGGTTAAAGGGGAAAAATGCCAATGGTGGCCGTCGCGCAAGCAGGTCAAGAGACCAGGCACCGACTGAACCCGACGTTCCAGCATTGGCCGATCGTGTCTTTGAGGTGGGCCTGCCTCGTTGGCTCCCTATTGTCGCGGGACGCACGGAATATCCGAGCGACTGACATTGCACGCGATCCCGCCTCCCGCGTACTGGCAGGTACCATTTTACTCTTCCGCGACCGACCGGCGATATTAGTCTGTGTTTCGCGGCCGCCGGTGCCTCCTCTGTCTTCCTTCGATCGGATCGACACGCGAGTGCACATCGCCGGCCATCTCGGCGGCCTGCAAATGTCAACCGGTCGATCTTGTCGCTGGAAACGGTAATTAAAGTGCGACGGCCGACGGCGAATCCTTAGGGACCCGTAGGAATTCCGACGGGGTGAGTAAACGAGTTCGAATTCGTTCGCGTTTGAGGGGCGGAGTTTGTGTTACGGGGGTAACTACCATCGCCGATCTTTACGTTCGTTGATGCTATCCTAACAGAAGAGCAATATTTGTGGACCGACAGAGATAAGTTGAGGTGAATAAACTTGTCGAAGACGTATAATTTCTGGCGAGGGTGGCTACCCTCTTTATCTTAAACGTGAATCAATCCTTTGCACTCGAGTGGCAACTCTGAGGTTGATTAAGGATTAATATACGCGATCTGGAAGAATTTCCAGATCGCTGTTCTTATTTATTAAATTGTTAAGAATAGTGCTACGGAGATTTCACTTTTTCTTGCGTACACTCCCGTCCATAAGTACAAGGACATTTGCCACTTTCAACGAATAAGCGACAAACGATATGAATTGATGCTGTAAAACGATGTTTGTCGGCGAAATTCTCTTTTGGATATAGAGGGTGTCTTAAAATTATCGTATATCCGGGAAATGGTGGGTTCGTGAGGTCATTTAAAGTAACTTTTTCCTTGGCGAAAATGCAATCCGTGGATTTGTTTAGGAGTTATTAACGGAAAACAGTGACCAATGAGGGGCGAGCGCGCGAACAGTAACAGTTTGATAGTAAATTAAATTGAGCGATTTAATTGTTTAAGTCCTTTAACTAACTTGAAGAAATCTTTTCACCCCGTGAAATCGCGGGTTCTCGGTTAAGCAATAATTGTTCAATTGATACATGTGTGTGTGTGTGGACAGAGAAATTGCAGCAGCAATTTTCGAGCAGCGGGGTACGTTCCTTCCGTAATCCGCGAGCATCGCAAATATTTTCGAACTGGCAAACGTGCACAATAAAAAGGTAGCAAGGGTGCAACAGATTAACACAGCTCGGACAATGGCGGGTCGTCGCGATCGTTCGATCCGTTCGACACAAAGAGACTCCGGTTGTTCGAGGTGGAAGCGATGTCGCCGATTGTTTGCCGGGTGCACAATGCAGGAAAGCGCGATCGGTGAAAACGGTGGTCCCATGATTGCTCGCCAGGGTGTACGGGTAACCCCGATCAGTTCGATCGATCGACCGTAAAAACGTGGAAACCGTGGTGACGTAAAAATAGGAAAGTTCTCTCTCTTTCTCTCTCTTTCGTTGCCGCAGCTGTTTACCCTTGGATTTCGGCCAGGCAGGAATGGCTCGCGACACTTTTCGATCATTAGGGCCATTGTTTGGGACCTCGGAGATTAAGAGCCGAAGCTCGAGGGTGGCCTGGAACCCCCCATAACGTTGCACAATGGGACGCAATATGTACAGAACGCTAAACGAACGGAGCAACACTTCGTCGGTTTGCTTTTGTTGTCTTTGACTTGATTTCGAAGTAATTGGACCGCGATAGAAATATTAAATCAATTTCAATGACTTCTTATTGAAGAATGTGCACGGAAAACATTTTCCAAAGTTATAGTATACACGGTTCTTTGTATTCTCTGCATTTACACACGCCGTAATGCATTCAGATCCACGGCAGAGTTCGGTAAAAAGTAATCCAATTAATAATTAATGATTAATAATTATTTCGCTAACGTGAGATCATCTTAACGTATAATGATTGCGATGACCAAGTAATCAAGTAATCATGATTAATTATGACTTATTTAACAATAAATACGCGGTTAACGATATTAAATAACCAAAGCAAATGTAATTGATGTTTGTCACGATTAACATAGAATTCTATAATCATGCAGTGACTACTTTTTTTATTACGGTTCACTGTAAATTTAGTACTATGGTAGATGATAACAATTCCGAATAGTTTTCAGAAAATCTGCATGAATTTCATGACTCAACGGAAGACTTATTCTATTTGGGCCCCTGATTCGGATCCAATAGCAAGTAATAAGAAAAATAAATTAATCGTTCGTCCGCGATTACAGGTTATTGATCAATGACGATTGATTTAATCATGATTCTAGTCGTTCTAATCATTCTAGTAATGATTAATCAATTGATGATTACAATCAGCGTGATTACTTTTCGCAATCAATCACAAAAGTAGTCACGAAGTAATCCATGACCTTTGATCGACAGTCCGCTAACGATCGAGCCAACGTCCCCGCCAAAAAAAGCAACTAGTCGACTGTGACCGACGCAACGCCCTCGAGACAGTCATCTAATTCACCGAAAAGCGAAAGGCCTCCGGGAAAAGCGCTTGGAAAACGGGCGAAAGGGGACATCAGGGCCGGCCATCTGCCGGCCGGTGCCCGGAGGGCAAGTTCGACTCGCTTCGAGTGCACCGATCCGATTGCCGACGGCAGATTAGCCGTTTCCCAGAAAGGCTCGAGATTTTCCAGTGCTCGAGCACACACGCCCGGCTTTAGAAAAGCGGCCGCGTGTGCAGGGAACGCACAAAAGGGGGCCGGGCGGGCGCGGTGCGGCGCCGCGCCGCGCTTTTCATTCCGCGGCAGCTCGCGCTTCGTCGAATTAGGGAAAAAGGGAAAGAGAATGGGAAGGAGGCGAAAGGAACACGAGCACCCTCGTGCTCGCCGCGTCAAATTACATCCACTGGCCCCCACTGCCCCCCTCGAGTTTTGCTCCCGCTGGATACTTATCGCGCAAATTGGATCGACGCGGGCCGAGATCCGACGCGGCCACGCCGAAAACGCGAATTTCTTCTGCCGCGGCTCAGCGCGTGTCGGCCGTAGGCTTGTGCGAACGTAATTGGTAGCTTCTGGTAGCTCGCACCTCGGTAAATATCTTCGAGGGAATTTGTTCTTCCATTCTGCAGCCCGGCGTTAATTTATTTTGTATGAAAATGGCGCGCAAATGGACGCCGCGTGCGAAGTGGATTCGGAAAGATCGAAAAACATGGCAGGCTGTCCTGAGAGACTGACTGAATGTTAAGGTAAAGGTAGAAACATAGTAATGTCGCGTCACGCGAAATCACGTGGAATCATGTGACGTTCGAAGAGTCTGAGCCTGCGTATTTTCATCCCTTCAAATCTGTTAAAAGCAGATGGTTCTAACAGATTTGAAATAATAGAAATACACAGACATACATTCCAATTCCAATATTTTTATTTAGTGTGCGAGGACTTTTAATTTCGTCCTGATATATATTTTCCATTTTATATATTTTTTTATATATTTTTTATACATATTTTATATATTTTTGGATATTTATATATTTTTTATATATATTTTATATATTTTGTATATATATATTTCATACATATTTATATATTTTATTTACTTTTATATATTTCATATATTTTTAGATATTTTATATATTCTTATATATTTTTACATATATTTTATTTACTTTTATATATTTCATATATTTTCATATATTATATATATATTTTTTTCTATATTTAACATTACGAATTATTTACCGCATTTTGTACAAACAGCTAACAAAAATATGATATTGTTCTGTGCAAAATACAAATTGCCCTTTGACAAAAGGTACACAACAAATCCATTATTTTTCTCGCTCGTACTGTTCGAACGTCACATGATGTCACGTGAAGTGATATTTAGTACGTTCCTACGTTTAACGTCCAGCGACGGTGGACATCTGCTGGAAGCCAAGAAGCGAATAAATCATCCGACCAATCCCTTCGCGAAGCAACAGCCTTAATCAATTCATGCCTCGCTAGTAGATCCAGCCCTCGCTGGCCAGGCCTCGTCATTAATCACTTTTCCTTCGCGTTTCCCCAAATTGAAATCGCCGCGTCCGAGAACGAGACACGCACGGACGGGCCCGACATCGTTGTACTCGGCGGCCAAACAATTTGCACCGACCAAGGATAATGATTTTGGACGTTATCTACCCTCCGCCGAAATTTGTCCCACTCGCGTCATTCGTCTTCCGCGTTTCTTTATCGCGAAACAATACCCGCGCCCTGGGAGACATTGCCTCTCTTTTCTCTCACGAAATTGATGACCGACTTCCGGCCCGGGGCTAGCGTACCAAGCGCGGCACTGATTTCTTATTTAGGGACCGTTCGAGCCCGGTGTCATTTTTCACGCGCGCTTCCCTGAACATTCGTACCCCCCTCCCCTTCTCCCCCGCCGACACGCCTGCCGTTGAACAGATCCGCCCACGTTTTCTCGCACTGTTTTCCCGATTTTCCAGAAGGGGGAACGAGCCTTGTGTGAAATTATACCGCGATGATTATGAAACCTGACCCGTATTCAATTTTGCCGGGCCGATCCAGCCGGTCGAGGGTGGTTTTTTCGGGATATTGATGGTCCCCGGGGAGTTGCCGTGAAGCTGCCAGAAATTTGCTTCTGAAGTGGAAGCGTAAATTGTCTGAATACAAATTTGGAGTGTTTTAGTTGCTATATTGTTTAGTTACCATCCAGGAGAGGCGTTGTTGTCAGCGAAGCCTAGCATACGTGATCTTGGAATTACATTTACC